GTTTCGACTAATAACAGAACAGAAAGTTCACAGTCAAAATGACAAAATTGTTATTTCACTTATTTGTGGGCAGTTTCTACGGGTTCATACTCCCTCTGTCGGTAATCTGCACTCAATTTTACAGCACGTTCTGTAACATCTTTCACAACATTGACTGAACCAATGTTTGATGTGGCTGACTGATAAGAATCGGATTGCGGCCATTCAACAACAGGTAATGCTAGGAAACTGCCATCTAAATCCGCGATATGAAAGAACTACGAGTCGCATTTAAAGAAGTCTTGACAGTTGTGATGATAGACTGATTTCACTTTGGAAACATGGCTTTCCGTATCAAGAACCAATACAATCTAGTGGTGAATCAACCGGATTTTCTTGTTTCAGACTGGTACCAGATCAGCAGCAAGGTACCAAGGGGTGAATGGCCGAATGGTTAGCACGTGCGTGCTGTATCATAAGACCTGTCATTGATCAACTGGCGTGGTTTCGAATCCCCGGTTGTACGTGACAAGGAGTAGGGTCGCCTGTGCAACCTCGTGGGTTTTCTCCGGGTCCTCCTACTGCTAAAGACCCCTACGCGCAAGCGAATTATTGAAATAAAATTAAAAACCATGTTAGTCCCAAAATGACCTAGTTTGTGTCGAGTGGACGTTAAACCCCATTTCTCTCTCTCTTTCTCTCTTATATAGGCCTTTCTTTACGCTATTAACGCCTATTTTACTGTGTGACATAGTCGATTTAGTACTCTGTGACGATTGTTTCTTTGAAACCTTTCCATGTAGCTACGCAACATTAACTTTATGGATTATGGCCCTTAATTGTACGAAAATCACGTTTTTAGCTTGTGGACACTCTAGAGATCACAATTTTTGTCCGATTTTGGTGAAACTTAAAATACATCTTTATATATTCCAAAGATATGTCCCTTTGGGTATTCGCGCATTACAGACCATAACTTTCTGGATTTTGGCCCCAGATTGTACGAAAAATCGAAGTTTTTTCAGCTTGTTCTGTATCCATCTCTTGGAAATGTGGGAGTATGTTGCCTGGCAACCACTGGTAATTATTATTACAAACTTTTTTAGAATTTAGAAACTTTACCAACTTTTGACATTTTTAGAGACGAAACCTGCGCTACGGAATGAAATTAGCAACTACTATTTATGAGAATTAAACATGTATATCAAATAATGTGCTTTTATTGAAATTTGAATATTTTTTTCAGAAACTTTACAACTTTCAACATATTTCTTGATGAAACTGTATAAAACATACGTACATATAAGATAAAAAAAGGTGTTTTAATCAAAACATTTTAGAAACTTTAAAAAGTTAGCAGTTAAAATGGAACATGTTAAAACTCGTCCATCGTCAATTTTGTGGAATTCCTGTGAAATCTTCTTAATGTCGCGACTTCGTCTTCTCTTTTGAAGAATACTTTTAATGCGGTATAGTAATTAGGCATTAAGGTTCATACATGTGGACGGCCTTCCACTCTCATGCGGCACACCGTATGAAACTCTATAAAACATACGTACATATAAGATAAAAAAAAGGTGTTTTAATCAAAACATTTTAGAAACTTTAAAAAGTTAGCAGTTCAAATGGAACATGGTAAAACTCGTTCATCGTCAATTTCGTGGAATTCCTGTGAAATCTTCTTAATGTCGCGACTTCGTCTTCTCTTTTGAAGAATACTTTTAATGTGGTATAGTAAGTAGGCATTAAGGTTCATACATGTGGACGGCCTTCCACTCTCATGCGGCACACCCATCTCGTATGAATTCCATCACAGTAGAGTTGCTAGCTAAAAACATAAAACATGAATATTTTTTTCATCAGAAATTTTATCGAGTACAACTGCTGGATTTATTGATGCAACGTTTGGACAATGTATTCTTTTGTCTTTATCAAGCAATTGAATTTTGTTGTTTGATAAGGACAAGAGAACACTTGCCGAAAAGTTGCATCAATCCAGTAGGGTTAATCGTTGGGGTTAGGCCATTGCCCATTGGGGAAAAAATCAAAATCGACTTCCCTTTCTTCAAATTTTTATAACGGTCATATCCAAATATAATAATAAGTCAATGTCGCAAAATCAGTCTCAAAATTGAAATTATCCGTCATTTTCGTAGTTCTTCCCTCGGGTGCAAACTCTAATTTACAAAATTTTCTGGGCTAGCTACGGGCCTGGTGGCTGCAATCTTTATATATAGCCGTGATAATTCTTATTGACGGCTAAAATTGATACATTATTCGAGTATTTGAGCAAGTAAAATTAGGTTCAATTGCAAAATCTACAACACACCATCACAATTTGCATGGAAATAAGTAATTATGTTACAAATAGTGAAGAGTGGAACACTGAAATCATAACTTTATACCGAACAATTTTTTTGTATTTTCGAGTGACGTAAAATCACATGATTCTGGTTCGGCGGCCATTTTAAAATGAACAGAAATTTCGCATAGCAGTTGGATTTTATCAAACCAGCAGCTGCCAGACAGGATACGCCCACATTTTCGAGAGATGGATAGAGAACAATCTAACAAGAAAGTGATTTATCCTACTATCAAGGGCCATAATTCAGGAAATTACAATTCAATATGCGCAAATATCGAAAGGAACTGAGATCTGTGTGTTATAAACTTACATTTCAAGTTTTAACAAAATCGGATAAAAATTGTGACGTCTATAGGGTCCACAACCTTGATATACCGTATTTTTACGCTATTTGAGAACGAACAGCGGCCATTTTGTCTGTCAATTGTGGGTTGATTTTCACGAAATTCGAATTCAGTCGTCCTTAGGGTGTAACAGTCATATAATAATACAGTTTTTTAAATTGGATAAAAATTATGACCTCTATAGGGTCCACAAGCTAAAAACGCGATTTTTCGTACAATCAGGGGCCATAATTCAGGACGTTACGGACCGATATGCGCGAATATCGACAGGAACCGAGATCTTTGGGTTATAAACTTACATTTCAAGTTTCAACAAAATCGGATAAAAATTGTGACCTCTATAGGGTCCACAAGCTAAAAACGTGATTTTTTGTACAAACAGGGGCCATAATCCATGAAGTTTCGATCCGATACATGCCAATATCGAAAGCAGTTGAGATCTTTTGGAGATAAACCTATATTTCAAGTTTCGTCAAAATCGGATAAGAATTGTGACCTCTAGAGTGTCCACAAACAAATTGTGGACGGACGGACAGGGGCGACGGCATAATACGTCCACATGAAAATGTGGGCGTATAATCATATAATTATGCGGTAAGGTTTCAGCTTTATTTCAATGGAAATTGGTTTATTGTTAAGCTATGTACAGTACAGTTAGGGGTCAGTGTACTTGGAAATTAAGGGAGTTGTAGGCCAGTAACCTTTTTGCAGTCAAATGACCTATTTTCAGTATAATTATTATAATTTTTAGCTAGGTAAAAAAAATCTACGATTATGGCCCCTGATTGTACGAAAAATTGCGTGTTTAGCTTCTGGGCCCTCTAGAGCTCACATTTTTTTATTTGGTTTTAAAAAAAATAACATTCATATAATTCACCGTTACACAGTAATTACGGTTAAGTTCGACTGTCGTGAAGATCGAATCGAAACTTCGCGTCAAAATGGTCCGTCCCCTTTACGCGTATAGTTTAGAAGTATAATGTTTTTTTCCGATTTTAACAAAACTTGATATATAGGTTTATATCCAAAGATCTCGGATCCGTTATTGGCATGTATCGGACCGTAACTTCATGGATTATGGCCACCGGTTGTATGAAAAATCATGTTCAGGAAAAACCGGAAGGCCTCGCAAATATCAAGAAGTTTCCGGAAAACGTCATAAACATTTTCGATATGCCATGTTGAAGGCATCATAGTGTTCCTTATTCCCGCCAGGTTTCAACATGATGCATCAAATAGTGACGGACATTAGCCATCTTGGATATAGAAAAAATACCTTAGAAAAGTTTTGATTCTAGGATTCCTTGTTTGTCAAAAGGACCGAATTTATATTTTATAAATAGTTCATATCAGGCCTAGAAAATATGTAGTAACAACAGGAACAAATTCACTATGTTTTAATTATCAAAAAAGTGTTACTTTTGAAGAAGAAATAGAGAGAAAAAACCTAAAATGCATGCTATTGTGAACACTATAAAAACAAACATAATCTAGACATATATTTCCACCGATATCATTATGCAACTGGATTTTGCCGAAGAGTAATTTAAGCACGTGTCTGTATGGCATATTTTCATAGAAAGCTGATTCTCTGATAAAGTGTGCTTTCAAGGATATCATATTAATTAGAATTACGCGAAATACCCAAAATGTCCCAAGTAAACTGTCTGCTCGCTAGCCTGGAGGTTGGGTGTTCGATCCCTGCATTGGCCGAGAAAGTTCATCCAGATGTTCCGACGTGGTTCCCCCTTGTCAGTGATGCAGGACGGAGGGCCTGGCAATGCACGTAAAAGATCACTTGGCAGTTGGAATTCGATATAAGAGTAGGCGATAGTGCCGCTGCCCGGGCAAAATTACCCTCATAGCACACTGTATGGCGTATGCCCGTCTTCATTAGCCCAGCATAGGAGCAGAACAGTAGGACGTTAAACCCCATTTCATTTCATTTCATTTCTAAACACCCGATACTAGTTCGCCATAACACCTACCCCACCCGCCTTCAGAAATGCACCCCGTATGTGGAATCTGAGGGAGAACGGACGAGTGAAGAATGGAAAGCTTTCTAGCATGGGAGACCATATTTTGAATACCAGACTTCAAAGTCATTGAAATTGTTAATTTGCGGACACCTAATTAAGCCAAATCTAGCTGTTCACCTTTTATAGGTAACGACACAATATAATGCACAAAACACCACTCAGAAAACTACAGTATATATAACCCCATAGATTATAAGTAATTATCGTTTGGAATGTATGAAAGGAAAATAGGAATACGTTTAATTTAGCATTTTTGGAAGACGAAAACAAAGATATAGTCTTACAGCTGCATTTATTACATAATTACAACCATAAAGAATTGTAGTTTTCGAGTAAATTAGATGGAATTAATCCAACTAACAAACTGGGATACTCGAGTATAAACACTGGGATAATTTCCACTACAGCCTGAAATACCCCATGATGTAACACCAGCTAACATACCATTACAGATCATAGGTCCACCACTATCTCCCTGTTTAAAAAGAAAAGCTCATATTATATCATACATTGTAGGGGATTGCCTAGAGCTCTAGCTTGCCCGTGACCTCTGGCTTGCCGTCGCGTTTTCGATCTATGGTGTGAGCTTATGTGGTGGTTATGCGATAGAGGGAAATGGGTTTTAAAACGCCAACTCGACACAAACTAAGTCATTCCGTAACTAACTTGTGGTTCAATTTTATTTAAATAATTGGGTTTCGCGTAGGGGTCTCTAGCAGTTGACGGAAGCCGTGGTTGGGCTGGCGACCCTACTCCTCGTCAATTACAAGATGGAAATCGAAACCACGCCATTTGACCCAATGACAGACTTTGTGATCTAAAGCGCACGCGTTAGATCATTCGGCCACCGCCACGGCTTACAGATATGACAGCCTTATAGAATTCGTGGTCTTTCTCCGGGTACTCTCCAATAAGAATGCTCCCTGTGCATGCGATCTATATACAAAAAAATACTTGTCTGCGATATCACCTTTGTTTGAAGCGGTCGTAAAATCCTGCTTACTACATCACATATTGTGAAAAATAAACACAATACTCAGATATAATGGAACACAATGCTATTAGGTGTAAAATATTAACAAACGCTAGACTCAAAACAAAGTATCTAAATCGGAATAAGATATTATGGCCAACTGGATGGACAGCATGTGGGTTCGTTTTCATTTATCTAAATTTAGAGATCCTTCGTATATCTAAAAACATGAATTGTATTTTTCACTCACATTGCAAGCTGATCTTCCTGATTGAAAGACACATATATGCCCAGTGTTAATGGTAGCCCCACTGATACCAGCCCATCTAGTAGAGCACTCCGAATTAGAAATCTTGCCCATCCCTACATATTGTAAGATGTTGGGAAGGCTGCTAGTACCTGTGAAAAGAAAGCAAAGATGTTATTTCAGCAATAATTAAGAGAACATAATATATTGTGATAGTAGTTTTTAAATTTACGATAATTCTCTCAATTTTATCGGAATTGCATTACATTGTTAAATATTTTACTAATTTTCAATAATTTACACACACTAGATATGCCAATATTTCTACTGTATTACCATGCCACATAGATGGACATGCATAATAATATACATTTATGTGTAGTTTTTGTAAAAAATGCGACGAATAGTTCAAATTAAATATTTTATAGCATACCAGAGGTTCTACCCCATCCGCTGATGGTACATGTCTGCCCAACAAAACTTGATCCAGAAGGAGCTAAACCAATGGTGCTTACAGCTGAGCTTCCGGTGTTGGCATTAGATGAAAGTCTCATAACAGAAATATCATTGGGATATCCAGCAGCATTGCCATTGTAGTTGGGATGCTGAAAGAAAGGGTAATATCAACTACTATAATATTACTTATACTGAAGAAGAAGCTGGAGGTGTACTTAAACAACTGCAAATATATCCGAACACTACCGTTACTTTAAGGATGCATATTGCATTACGTAAAACTGGAAATACAGATTCTTGAATTTATTTGAAAATCAATTACCCATAAAGAGCCTATTTAGAATATAGTTAGTTGCTTAGTGTATGTGTGTGAAGATTACCAAATTGTATTCCGAATGTTAAAGTCCACTTACATTTACTATAGAGCTGATGTAGATAGTCTGTTCTGTGCCATCAATATTGTTCAGTCTGTGATTACCAAGAACAACTCTGTAGGATCCAGGACTAGGCAAAAATTCAAAATTCAATATCAGTTCTGTGCAATATTGTGTGTATATCTCTGTTTATAAAATATTTGGGTGTATAAATAATCAGAGTGGAAAATGATTCACCCAATATTTTAGAAATAGGGATCATATCGTAACTAATTTTTAACCTTTTTTATGCAATCTATTTACTGAATATGAATGTAAGTAATGTTTTAAACCTTGTAGCAGTAACACAATGAGCAGCAGTTAAAACTCGGTTGTTAGCAATCAAACTTCCACCACAGATGTGAGCCCAACTGCTACCAGAACTTCTCTGGAGAGAAACTTGCCACGGGAATTGTCCAGCATATGCATCACTTCCCCCAACGATTCTTTGTGATGGTTCACTGGCAACAAGACCTTTAGAGAAAACGAAAAACCGGTGTTTAACTTTTCGTACGAGTTATTTGAAATACAAATTGTTTTACAGTTATACTGATATTTTAATGCCATAACAATCGAATTCTTCATAATTTAATAACTTACCAGCTAAAGCAACGATGCACAACATAAGTTTCATCTTGGATGGATGGTGTTTGAATAGACTGCCAATATTTGATGGAGATTAAAGTTAAATTTCTAACTATATATACAAGTTTTATCTTTCAAGTTGTCGCCTCTTTTTTATTTATGGCACCAATTAAAGTTGTTATGAAATGATAAATATATTTTATATGCACACGCCTTGCAAGAAAATCAACATTACCTTCGATGGGAAATTACAAGATGACAGTCGCTCCTGAAACTCAGATTAAACTGAAGTAGAACTTTCTGTGCATTTCTCATATCGACATTTTTAAGGACTTTTCTGTGAACACGTCAGATAATCGGGTAGACGTCATATACATACTGCAAGTTATTTATGTTGTCCTTTTTTTCCTAGGAGAGTAAACTACTGGGGGTGGGGAGGGAGTAACTAGTCCGCCGCTATAAAAAATACTACAAATATGGGTATCAAAAAAACCCAGCAGGTATGGTGGCTGATTGGTAAAAATGTCGCGCAAAATGTATTATCCTGTTTAAATGCCATCTTCCTTTCAGTATAGTTTGATTATGTACACTGATCATGGTGTTGGCCAAGTACGTTTTCTGGATTTTCAACTCGGTATCTCCCTTTCGGTAGTGCACGACGAAGGGCCTGGCAAAGAACAGTGTCTAGTTGTATAGATGGAGCAAAAACACATGACCCCGTGTACACATTGGCGTGTGCATAAAAGAACCCCTCACAGTTCGAAAAGTGAATGAAATGGGGTTTAACGTTCTGCTGTTCTGCTCCGAGTGGGCTAATAAAGACCGGGGTGCGCTACACAGTGTACTATAAGAGGAACTTAGCCCGGATAGCGGCGCTACCGCCCCCTACTCTTACATTGAATTTAATCAATTCTTGGAAAAATGGTTACATACCATTGTCAGTGTGGATGCGTTTTGTACATACCATTGTCAGGGTTGGTGTATTATATTTCATTGTCGGTCGGGGTTGGTGCTTTATTGTCAGAGTTGGCTACGGGTGTGCATTTACATGTGATCATCAATCGTAAAAATGACAATAATAGATATCCCTAGGAGATTTATCTGAAATGACCCCACTCGCCCCACACACACACAAATACGTCAGGTAACAGAAGGGAGTAGGGGCAACGTCAATTATATCCAACAATATATGTCTTAACAAGCCGGGTTGTAACAGAAAATGTCACCGTAAAATGTCAAACTACTTCACCGCGTCACGTTGTATTAGTGATCGAAAAAAATATTTTTTCACATACTCCTGCCTGATGGTAGTCTAAATTATAGTCTATAGCGTTTTATACAATGGGGAAAATTGCCGTATAACACAATGCAGGGCATACACTAGTCTTTATTCTATTTTTTCCGGGGTTGGGTAGTCAAATTAATGGTCTAACGAGTGCGCCTATAAGGCCTGTCATTGAGTCAAGTGGCGTGGTTTCGATTCACAGCTTGTACGTGACAAGTAGTCGGGTCGTGGAATATTTCCAGTTTCCACCCACTGCTAATGACCCGTACGCACAAGCAAAATAAACGCTATGTTCATGTGGACGTATATTGTCGCCCCTGTCCGTCCGTCCGTCCACAATTGTTTGTGAACAGTCTACAGGTCACAATTTTTATCCGATTTCAATGAAACTTGTCACCCTAAGATCTCGGCTCCTTTCGATATTGGCATGTATCGGACTGTAACTTCATGGATTATGGCCCCTGATTGTTACGAAAATCACATTTTTACCTTGTGAACACTTGAAATGTATGCTTATAACCCAAAGATCTCGGTTCCTTTCGATATTCGCGCATATCGGAACGTAACTTCCTGAATTATGGCCCCTGATTGTACGAAAAATCGCGATTTTAGCTTGTGGACCCTATAGAGGTCATAATTTTTATCCGATTTAAAAAAAAAACATATTATAATATCACCGTTACACCCAAAGGAAGACGGAGTTCGAATTTCGTGAAAATCGGCCCAAAACTGACAGACAAAATGGCCGCCGTTCGATCTCAAATAGCGTAAAAATATGGTATATCAAGGTTGTGGACCCTATAGAGGTCACAATTTTTATCCGATTTTGTTGAAACTTGAAATGTAAGTTTATAACCCAAAGATCTCGGTTCCTTTCGATATTTGCGCATATCGAATTGTAATTTCCTGAATTATGGCCCTTGATTGTAGGAAAAATCACTTTCAGTTTAGCTTGTTTTCTATCCATCTCTCGAAAATGTGGACGTATCCTGCCAGGCAGCCGCTGGTTATTGATGGGGATATAATGAAGTCGTTAGTTATTAATTAATAATTCTAATCACATTGTGATCAGTACGTGTATTTGTGTCTTACTATGAATAACTTTTACTAAAGAGAAAAATAGGGCGCTGACACTAGATGTTGACCGATAAACGTCCCCGGCATTTTCCAGCGTTATTGCTCTTGGTCAGTTGTGCAGGGCGGACAAAGAACGCGGTCCCTTGGCGTTCTCATAATCGAACTCGTGACGGTTGGGATTACTGCTTGTTGTTCGGGAAATGATTCATAGGCCTATCTTCATTTGTCCGATCGGTGCAGAAAGGTAGGACGTTGAACTACGTTTCATTCATACGAATAACATATTCGACGCTATATCAGCCAGACATAACTTTGGTTTACCTCTACCGTGAGTTACAGTCAAACGATTTATCATGTAAATCTCATTGTTTTTATATCCCAGTATAGTTGGGGATACGGACAGTCTATACAAACAAATTCCTTTTAAAACCGGTTGCATTACATGTTCATTCCATGTCAAGTGGGTCAGGGGTGGGAAATTGCCCCCCCCCCCTCGAAAAAATCTTAGTCCCGAAATGACCTAGTTTGTGGCGAGTGGACGTTAAACCCCATTTCTCTCGAAAAAAAAATCTGGAAAAACTATATGTTATTGTACATGTAAAAACTAGAAACCGTGCAAAATTTGTGGTCTGTAGCTTGCAAATTGACTGAGATACAGGCATTTGATTTTCATGAGTTACCGATAAGTTTTCGAAACAAAATATGTATCAATAATTTACTCGAGTTTCAGATATCTTATTTTGACCTTTCTAGTGAAGATATACAGCTCACATTTGGTAGTCTTAAAGAACTTTTTGTGGTAGGGTTCGCGTGCTAGTTGGCCACCTAAACCGAGAAAACATTTGGTGTAATTGTATATTTTCTGGATTTTGTAGTGTTCCAGGAGCGACAAAGTTATAGATATAGACCCAAATTTTGGCCTTTCCAGAGAGTGCCGGTTGTACTACGTAAGAAACTTATGAAGACGCATTATTTTAAAAACTAGATTCCCAGAAAATGTTGTCTGATCTCGCATTTTCTACAATCGTTCATAATCTTGCTCCACGCAAGGTATAAAATTCTCAACCAGTTGTTGGTTGCTGGAAACCAACCTCGTCATACAATGTCACAATTCAATTATATAGAAACACTATTATCTTACTAAATAATTTATTATTTATATAGCGCCGAATATCCTACACAAGTGTTTCTCACTTTTTCTAATTCTAAATGGTATTAATTGTTTTGCGGCTTGTGTTGCAAGTGTGATGTCTACCTAAATATTACTTGCCCTCTGTCATAATAGTAAGAAAAGCACCTGATGTTCGGTTGACAACATCATCGGTATTGCCCCACTCCCTCTTTATTTTTATACGCCCACATTTTCATGTGGACGTATATTGTCGTCGCCCCTGTCCGTCCGGACGTCCGTCCACAATTGTTTGTGAACAGTCTACAGGTCACAATTTTTATCCGATTTCAATGAAACTTGAAATATAGGTTTATCATCCTAAGATCTCGGTTCCTTTCGATATTGGCATGTATCGGACTGTAACTTCATGGATTATGGCCCCTGATTGTAAGAAAAATCACGTTTTTAGCTTGTGAACACTGTAGAGGTCACAATTTTTATTCGATTTAGTTTAAACTTAAAATGTATGATTATAACCCAAAGATCTCGGTTCCTTTCGATATTCGCGCATATAGGAACGTAACTTCCTGAATTATGGCCCCTGATTGTACGAAAAATCGCATTTTTAGCTTGTGGACCCTATAGAGGTCATAATTTTTATCCGATTTAAAAAACCGTATTATTATATCACCGTTTTACCCTAAGGACGACTGAGTTCGAATTTCGTGAAAATCGACCCAAAACTGACAGACAAAATGGCCGCCGTTCGTTCTCAAATAGCGTAAAAATATGGTATATCAAGGTTGTGGACCCTATAGAGGTCACAATTTTTATCCGATTTTGTTGAAACTTGAAATGTAAGTTTATAACTCAACGATCTCGGTTCCTTTCGATATTGGCGCATATCGGACCGTAACTTCCTGAATTATGGCCCCTGATTGTACAAAAAAATCGCATTTTTAGCTTGTGGACCCTATAGAGGTCATAATTTTTATCCGGTTTAAAAAAAACACCGTATTATTATATCACCGTTACACCCTAAGGACGACTGGGTTCTCAAATAGCGTAAAAAAAATATGGTATTTCAAGGTTGTGGACCCTAAAGAGGTCACAATTTTTCATCCGATTTTGTTGAAACTTGAAATGTAAGTTTATAACCCAAAGATCTCGGTTATTTTCGATATTCGCACATATCACACCGTAACTTCCTGAATTATGGCCCCTGATTGTATGAAAAATCACTTTCTTTTTAGCTTGTTCTCTATCCATCTCTCGAAAATGTGGGCGTATCCTGCCTGACAGCCGCTGGTTTTACAAATGAGTGGTGACAAACTGATCAGTGGCAAATATTCGCTCGGTCGCTATTATCACTGAAAGCGATGACATCGGGCGATTTAATATTAGACCTCAATGCGTAAAAGGCGCCAATTCTCCCCGGTTAGCTTCTGTTACCATGTCCGAGGCTATATGATGTAATACCACAGGTAGACCTATAAATCACGTGACCTTAAAGTAAAAGAAGGATTTCTCATAACCGCTGGGAAGTAGATTGCATTGGTTCATCTCTACAGCAGTTGGGGCTGAATTCTAAACAATAAAAAAAAAGATTATTTGCCGATATGATCATGTCTATATATAGCTGTGTTTAATTGTTTGACTAAACAAACTTGGCGTGTATTTTGATAGCCTCAATATTTTGTATAGAATCAAAATAGCATCTTAATTATACATGTATGTGTGAGTATGGTGAAACGACAAACGAAAATATACTTTAATATAGATATGCACGAGTCCCTTATAGTCCAGTGTTTGCATAGTAACAGAATGGCTAGGTTTTTCACTTTGTTCGTGTAAACTCTAACGGTGACCTTTCGTTTTTGGTGGGGAAAGGATTCTGAAAACCTTTGTAATCATCAAATATTGAGTAAATAAATGCGCTTTATTTTATTTTGTATTATAATAGATAAATAAACAAACAGATTCTATCGGAAATATAGTGTTGCTTTAGTAAAATTGTCATATACCGACCGATTATAGAAATTGAATATGCATAAGACTCGCCCCTTCCACAGAAATATAATGCCGATATTTCCGCCCTAGGATACATCGTAATTACCGAGTGGCCAAATATTATACGCCCAATACAGCAGCTTTCTCTAAAAGGGAAAAGTGTTGTGTCTAAGAGAGTGGACAAGCACAATTACGCTAATTAAAGGGCTATAGCTCGGGAACTTAAGAGAGCTAAATCTCTATCTCATTATTTTCCGTAAAACGAGAAATTAGAATTCATCACTGGTTAATTCCAATTAATACTGTTATCCACTATTTAAGACACAGCGAACATTTTATAATCAGTACACGAGTCGTGTATTCTATGGCTTCGGGTGCCATTTTGTAATGAACAAATAAAAACATATCCCACCAGACGATGTGGAAGTAATTAGTAAAGGCTGATTCACAAACGAAAAAATAATCATAAATGGACTAAACAAGCGTAAACGACTACCGTGAAATTTAAACTGTTCACGTAATTCAACGAACATCATAGATTAGAAATTGCAATATTTGTTTCGTGGTTTCGAATCCCCGGTCGTACGTGACAAGGAGTAGTGTCGCCTGTCCAACCTCGTGGGTTTTCTCCGGGTCCTCCGGTTTCCTCCCACTGCTAAAGACTCATATGCCCAAGAGAATTATTGAAATAAAATTGAACCATGTGTTAGTCCCGAAATGACCTAGTTTGTATCGAGTGGCCCTTAAACCCCATTTCTCTCGCAATATTTGTTTCAAACGTTGAATATAATCGCTTTACATACATTCATATTATATTAATATATGTGCTTTTAGAACCATTTTCGTCTATTTCAAGGTTCCGATAGAGCCAACGCCCTTTAAATGGCGACCGCGTTCAAATTCAAGCGTAATTGTTGTCTTCTTGTAAGAATCGGTGTTCTATGGTTTGAAATAGATTCGTCAGTGTTGCATTTACAGACCGGACAAGCAAACTTACACTAAAGGGCCATAACTCCGGGCGAAAATAGTGATTGTGCCCAAGTTCAATCGGATTTGTCGTGTATTGATCGAGATACTAGAGAGGTTTCGCACCAGTACGTATACAGTTAGTGGGACGGATACGTCATCAATCTGTATGTTCTTATTACGTCACAGCAAGTTCCCTTATCCGTAATGCGTACGGAAGGACGGCTAGTCAGCTCACTGCACGTGGTGGGAAAACTAATTTGTGATCTTAGTAGAACGGATACGTCATCAGTTTGTGTGTTCTTGTGACGTCACAGCAAGTTTTCCTATCTGCTATTCGTACAGAAGGACGGCTAGTCAGCTTACTACACGTGGTCGAAAAACGAGTAAGTAATCTTCAATTTTTTCATAATTTTGGATATGAACAAACTATTTCATGAATTACAAATCTTTGTTAATACCATGTAGTCCAAAGAATTAATGATTATTTGTGTTTTGAACATCAAAAACATGTCTAAAAGGCGCTTTGAAAAGACCCCTATACTAGGACAAAAATCTTGTTTTTTTCTTCGATTATTTTTTTTTTATAGAAATGGCGATGGCAACAGCAGCAAAAAAGCCGACACGCTTTAATCCTGCAATGGATATCAACCTGTTAAAAGAAGTATTAGCGCAGTGGTCCCCTGTCCAAATTGAATGGGAAGCTGTGGAGAAAAAGTTAGGCCTACAACTAGAGGGTTTGAACGTGCAAGTGACAGCAAGAGCTTGTCGCGATCGCTACAAAAAACTTATCAATGCTTATCGATCTGAGGAACTGGCATCACTAAGAGCGTAAGTTATAAACAGATACTTTTCATGCACGGATCCTTGACCTTGGACTTAGATTACTATTGTAGACCCCAGTGGTAGGCCCATACTGCACGCAGCGACCCATCTACGTCATACTTCCCAGAATGTGACACTGCACTGATTATCCGCCATTTAAAACGATCATGTGATCATTTTGGAGCGGGACTTATCGATTCGACACCGCTTTGTTTAGACAACAAAGTAAAAATAACCCACGCACGTGTGTTTTATGTAAACACGGCATGTCGCTGACACTCGCGTAAAAGCGATATATAATATGTGCTATGGGTAATATTGCAATAAACTCTTTACCATTGTAAACTGTCTTTAGAGTTTCAATCTGTTTATCTTTCAAAACAAGGTTAGATACTCCTAAATTTGTTTTCGCAAACAAAACCGCCTCTGTGAAATTATGTTTCATGGGCGCCGCCATATTGAATAATGAGAGGACTATTTTGTGATTCGGCTTTGATTAGTTTGACATCTTTCATACACACAGCGGCTAATTAAACATATTTAATTTCATTCAATATGACAATAGAAGAGAAATAAATACTTTTAAAATTTTCTAAAAGCATACTCAGTGTTTTCGACTAAAATCGTCGATGTAGGAATTTAAATGTCGGTTAATTAGCTTAGGGCCTATTCTCAGCCGGAGCTAGCTGTAGATAGGCAGCCTAAGTTTGGGATGTGGTAGGCCTAGTGCCAGTGGTACAGGAAGTGACATATGGGCATAGGCTAAGTTCAAGACTTGTATGTGCTCTTTTATAAATGGTTGAAATGATTACTTAGTATAATTTAAACCCCGCCCACCCCTCGCTGGTTGGTCCTATTTGAACTATCTGAACACTATGGAATGTAGAGATTGATGATGTATCCTACTTGTAGGGCTTATGTGTTCTCATGATATTTGAGAGTGCCAAATTGTGTTCATAGATTAAATTAAAAAATGTATTCTTTTGCACCAGTGATGCTGCAGTTTAAAAAGAATACAATACTCTTTAACATGAGCGTTTTATGCTTTAATTTTTCAGATCTGGGACTGAGGAAGAGTATGGGGAAAGAGAAATGTTGTTGGGAGAATTAACAGAGCTGGGGGCGGAAAATGAAAAGAAAGAAAAGAAGATGAAAGATGAAAAAAAAGATGAACAGGGTGATGAAGTCCGCAAAGCCGCCATTGCAACTTTGAAAGAGCAATCTATTGCTATTGGTAGGCCAGGGGTTTTATTCACAAAAACAAAAACTAAAATAAAATTTAAATTTTAAAAAGACACTGCAATTTTAGTACATATTTTTAAATTAATTTTCGTGTTAAGCCAATGAAATTGCAGTGTCTTTTTAAAAAAAATTTTTTTTTCTTTTTTTATGATTGGGTGAATAGGGCCACTGATTGATTGTTTTAATGCGATTAAAAACATTTTTTACCTAATAGGATTGCAAATATGGTTTTGTAAAAGTTAATCATCTTTCCTGGTCAACTGAAAGGGATAAAATTGAAAAATTACGGCTTACTTAACCAGAAATATAAAAAACTAAAAATTAGTAAAAGCGACTGGTAAAACATTCTACCAAAACGAAAGTAAACAGTGTATTACGTCAATAAAGGCTATTTTTTTTAGAAATCTTATATTTTTGAACCAGCAAGAGTGGGATTATCCTTGAAGCATTCAGATTATGGCCTAAATCATGATTTGATGTAGGCAGTTTATACTAGCTTTCTCAATCTCACTTTTTGTTTGTTTCAAAGAACAGGTGATCCAGTAAATAGATTGTTTTACTTTTCAGTCTATTGACACATCGACTGCCTCAACCTTATTCTAGTACCCAGTTACTAGCTCTTTTAGTGAGAATAGTAAACAAATTATTGTTTTAGAATTAAACAATTAAACAGTGTGTTTAGTTGTCTAACCCACCCCTTTAAATAAAATAAGTTTCAATCAGAGACATTTTTTTATTAATAATCCCAGTGTCTTATGTTTCCAGATGATAATGGTGAAAGCACTAGTAAGAAGCGAAAGAAGAGTAATTTGAGCGCAGATTATGTCAAATTTTTAAAGGAGAAAAATGACCGTGAAATGGACTTAAAAAAGGAGCAACTGGAGTTAGAGAAGGCGAAATTTGAATGCGAAAGGAAAGAAAGGGAAGCCAGGACAGAACACGATAGAGCAATGCTGACACTTCTTACAGAGCTGATTGTAAAAAAAAAAAATAACATCATGATATACATGTATGTACATTTAATTTATTCTTTTTACTTATGTATGAGATTTAAAAAAACAACAACAATAGTAGTTTTAGCAATCTGTTTATCCCAAAAAATTCTCCAATGTAGGTGGCATAAGTGCAAAATAATCATTGTCTGGCTACCATATACACATGTATGACAGTTGGTCAAAAGAGCACCCACAATGTAATACTTGGCGATAGTTTCAAATTTTTCTTGAAATCTAGGAAAGCCCAAAGCTGCACAATTTTCCCAAATCCCCATTCCCGCACACTTGACATTTTTGAGTTAAATAAATTCTCATCTTGGGTCAAATTTGCTCCCTTAAATGAGTAAAAAATATACTCCTCGAGTGGATATGCGGGATCACCATAAACAGCAAAACGTTGCCTATTGATGGTGTAAAGTGGATGAGCCTCAAAGTGATCTATTAGTCCACTTTAACGTAGTAATGCGCAATCATGCCGTCGTCCCTCAACTGGACCGTACAAATTTTCAATTATTCCATTTGGCAACATGACTGACTGGAATTTGTGGCCATTATAGCACACTCTTTGGTTGATGCCAGGTCTACACATTGCACGAACGGTACCATCTACAAACCCAAAACAATTCATCAACGGGGCATTTTTCGAATGTATGGCATCTGCATATGATTGAAGCGAGTCTCTTGTCATCCATGGTTTTTCCATGTTTTTGAGCAAATGTCAATGAGTGGAATACAGGAACTCAAGGGTTTCTTTCACAATGAAAGATAAGGTTGATTTTGGTCTACCGAAAACCCTTTCATGTCCGAAAGGCGATTCGGATACGCTAGCCTTCGTAATGAAATGCATAACGCATCCAAGCCATCAACAACTGTCCTATTTTCGCAGACGAATCTCTCGGGAAGTTTCAATGCAATACCAAGCCCCTTTAATGAATCTTTATCAAATCTAAATAAATCCACGGACTGATCATCGCTGATATTATCCAGATTAAAATCAACGTCTGGGTCGTATGTTACAAGGCCATTGCGTCGTGCATCAGCATTTTCCAATTGATGAAGAATCATGTTTTCGTCGTCATTCTCGATCGCCAAAATGTTTTCATTAAAGGGCCCCGCCATTTTGACTAGACATACACGAGCGACATCTATTCGCTATACGTTAAAAGAAACCTATAATAGCTATGTGTAACCGTACTTGTTTACGTTCAGGTGCGAAATGTCGCTACTTTCTTTGATAACACAACGAACAACGGCAGTGATATGAGGTATAAGGCCCTACATTTTCTGCTCCACCCGGATACTCTCTACTATACGCCGTTGCTTGTTAAGCCCTTCGTTTTGCACCTCTGAATTATTCATTCAGCCACGACGAACCCCAACAAACGAAAACGAACAAGTATTGAGTTAAACAGTCGAAGAAAAAACAAATTTGTGTTGTTCGTAGGTTTTATTTTGTACTTATGTAGCAATAATAAAGAAAGAAAGGAGGCTATAATATTATCCTGTATCATCCATTCATAAAAATATACATATAACAGCTATGAAAAACAATTAAACATTTACAATATATTAAAACAAACACTTCAACTGGTAACAATAAAACCATTAGAACACATTACCGATATACTATATGACATTCAAATTGTTGGATAGAGGCAGGGGCCCCGGAACCCGGGTAGCAGGGTATACACATGGTACCCTGCTCTTTTCTAGGGTATACATGTATACCCATGCCCTAATGATGAAAGTTTTCAACCCTTTTACTAGTCTATTCATTTGTGAATAATCAGGCTTTTGTCGCTTTCATTGTCATGTATTTTAAAGGGTTTTATGTTGGAATTTGGAATCCTAGAGGCGCTCTAAACGGCGTTTCCGGAATTGACAAATTTCAAAATGTTTTAGAGGCCGGGGAGAGATTGCTGTGGAAAGGCGTAAAACAAAATACTTAATATTTAAAAACCTAATAAAATTCTATTTAGTAATATGTACATCATCGAATATTATGGAAAGGTGACAAAATTTACATCATGAAAATAGATGCTAGGGAAATGGTAAGAACTGACCAAACGTAGTTTTGAGGCCCTGCAAAAAAAAGTACAGTTATGAAAAAAGTACATTAATACGCTATTGAAGAAAGCATGTAATTAAATCCTCTTATACATAGCTAAAGATACATTCCTTTATGCGAACAGGGATAGTTTTATGTATGGGGACACCTCACTTTCCCCACATCTATTGTTTAGAGTCTGGGTCCACCAGGCCATGACTAATTAATCAACAAAGGGGGTTTTAAGTATAGTCTGTAACAAGTTTGTGGCACTTCAACAAAATGATAAATAATATTAGTGGAAAAGATTACATGTAAAAAATAATACATATAATATTAATTATGGATTCTTATATTATACCATTTCCATAATTTTTATAATATACAAATTAATACATATATAATATAATAAATATATATATATATTATATTATAATAAGTAATACATATTAAGTGCATATATTAAAATGAGTAACTAACTAAATAAATAAATAAAGACATTTTTATAGTATAAATATTTATAAACAGTTTGATAAACATGATAGTTCACAGTCCAACAAAATTCATAACAGTGTTGAGGTATTCAATGGGTGTCTTGCGTGTAAATTTATTAGTAAACTGATTTCACCAATTTTCCCAATCTACTGATAGTGGGAAGTGTTATTAGACTAGAGTTAGAGTGGTTCGTGCAAATAACAAAAATCCAATAAACGAGCTGTATTTGGGGCTTATTTTAACAAATATGATAAGACTTACCATTAAAATCATCATTCATTAACAATTAAACTATTGCTAAGTTGGATATTTGTGTGATTTGGCCATTTGAATGGGACTTTCTAATTATATGGAAAAGTTGATCGCCCAAGCAGCGTTACAGCGGTAGATTTTTTCATTAAAAAGAGTTGTTTCTTGGTCACATCAAAGTTTCAAATTTTGCTCTGGAAAACGAATTCTTAATTTCCGCAGTCGGCTTTCTTCGTTTTTTTTACGTATGTACAATTAACAATTGAATTTAACATTTGTACGCGTGCGCAGCCCTTCGTTTGAGAGAGAGAGAGAGATGTTGTCTGAATTTTGAGCTGATTTTTTAACGTTTACATGCAATAGACTATAGTTAAAACTTTCTAATAAGGGGTGAATTTCGTGGTTTACAAACGCAGTATGTAGAGAGTGCTTACCGTACTCATATTGTAGATGTTAAATATCCTTTATGATAATCCTATTTTCTTTCAAATAATTATCACAAATATAAAAATCATACACATCAAAAACAGAGGAGCACACGACAAAGAAAAAAGCCTTAAGCATTTTCAAATCGGTTCGGCAGCAGTGGTCCAAATGTCTAGCATTGTATCCGGAATTCCGTATAAGAATCTACTTAGAGCCCGTGAGAGCACTTTTCTCATAAACGAAGTTTTGATCCGCGTGACAACATGCTGTTAAAACAGGTCAGTTTATATAGTACAGATAATTGAGTGTGTGGGCCATTCTACTAGAGTGAGAAGTTTACACCAGTGATACTAATTAATTAGAACAGACTATAGTTCTACACCCACTGTCCAGTAACCTCCTATCTTTTATCAAAACAATCAAATGTGGGGAAAGTGAGGTTAAACCTTATATATACAGTCTATCAAAGACGATAATTCGAATTACACTAATTGTTTTTATCTTCCTCGAGAAATCGAATAAGTATATCCTGAATAGCTATTGTGATATATCTGTCTTCTACACTTGTCATTGTACACAATGTATATTTAAGTAATAATAACTAATAATTTCAATATTTCGCGGATGTAAGACAAAACAATGAAAACCACTTACTTGTACTTATGTTATCAGATGTTGTATCTAAAAAATTACAAAAATATATATGGTGAAATTATGTTTTCCAAAATAGCACTAAAAATAAAAGACACACTGCAAAGCCCAAAAGGAACGGTGGGTAAGAAAAAGTTCATATCTGCATTATTGGTTTTGGGGGATCTAAACCATATCTTCTTACGGTCAAAAGAACAAACTGTATTGGATCTGACCAAAATTAGCGCAAGGAAAAGTGTAATTATCCGTCTATTGCGAGATGTACTTTCTTTCACCTAAACGGAGATCGCGTGGCTAAGTGGGTAAGACGCTAGCTCGCTAGCCTGGAGGTCGGGTGTTCGATCCCTGCATTGGCAGAGAAAGTTCATCCAGATTTTCCGGCGTGGTTCTCCCTTGTCAGTGATGCAGGACGGAGGGGCTGACAAGGAAAGCTGTCTAGTCGTTCGGATGGGACAAAAAACCGAGGTCCCGTGTACACATTGGCGTGCACGTAAAAGATCCCTTGGCAGTTGGAATTCGATATAAGAGTAGGCCGTAGTGCCGCTGTCCGGGCAAAATTTCCCTCATAGCACACTGTATGGCGTATGCCCGTCTTCATTAGCCCAGGTTAGGAGCAGAACAGTAGGACGTTAAACTCCATTTCATTTCATTTCATTTCTTTCACCTAAACGGTTAAGACAACGTCTATATCAAGTAACCATCGGGGTTTATTTTCCTCGTCACAGTAATATATACATTTATGCTTAAGGTTATTTTAACACAAAATATTAAATGCTTAATTTCTTTTATCATTTACGTATCTCGAAACAATGAGTGATATGAAATTGACGTTATTAGCTTACGGGCGTATTTATTCACATGACCCGATTGCAACGGGTTGACACACCCGAATTATTTAAATATTCGTTTTATTTGTATTGATTTGGATACAAATATTTGGGTGTAAAATTACAAATTCAAACATTAATCGAATACGTTTGTCACACAGTTTGCAGATGAAACACTCACCACTTTGTACAGTAGTAGTTGGCCCGGTTACAGATGGTTCTGTTATATTTTTTTCCGTTTTTGTTGGTTCGACTGTGATTGTTTCTGTTGAAGTTGGTTTGGCAGTGATTGTTTCTGTTGTGGTTGTCTCTGCAGTGGTAGGTTGGGTTGTTGTTGGCTCGATTGTACTTGGTTCGGTAGTGGTTGGCTTGGTTGTTATTGGTTCGATAGTGGTTGGTTGGGTTGTTGTTGGGTGAGTAGTAGTTGTGTCTGTTGTGGTTGTTTCCTCAGTGGTTTCTTGGGTTGTTGTTGACTCGATTGTACTTGGTTCGGTAGTGGTTGGCTGGGTTGTGGTTGGTTGGGGTTTTGTTGGCTGAGTTGTAGTTGAACCGGTAGTGGTTGGCTGGGTTGTAGTTGACTGGGTAGTTGTTGGTTCGGTAGTGGTTGGTTGGGTTGTTGTTGGTTGGGTTGTAGTTGGCTCGGTAGTGGTTAGTTGGGTTGTAGTTGGTTCGGTAGTGGTTGGCTGGGTTGTAATTGATCCGGTAGTGATTGGTTGGGGCGTTGTCTCGGTTGTAGTTGGTTCGGTTGTGGTTGGTTGGGTTGTTGGTCGAGTTGTAGTTGGCTCGGCAGTGGTTGGTTGGGTTGTTGTTGACTGGGTTGTAGTTGGTTCGGTAGTGGTTGGCTGGGTTGTAGTTGATCCGGTAGTGGTTGGTTGGGATGTTGTCTCGGTTGTAGTTGGTTCGGTAGTGGTTGGTTGGGTTGCTGTTGGCTCGGTTGTAGTTGAAGTCATGAATTTTAAGGTAAAAGATATGTCATTTATCCAGTAAACACTGAAAGACTGGACTACAGTAACCCTAAAATAAAGACATCACGGTTAGGTTTAAAGTCTGCGTGCATTAAATTTACTATATATATGCGGAAGTATAGGTAGCCGATATAAAAACCATGGCCCACGACTCCTCCGCCATTCGTCTATCCCGTTCTCTGCTTCCTTTCAAGAGACTGTGATATTTTGAAGACGATCCGCCCAAGAAAATTTGATTATAGGCAATCTATATCATACATTATGGACGAACCCCTTAAAAAGTTTCATTAGTGTTTTCTAATACGATTGTGTTGATCAAATATTTTAATTTCTGATCCATACCAATACTATCACTATTGGATTCATAAACTCAAGAATATATAATTCTCATGTTGAATAATGAGGAAGGATTTTGATTTAAGATAATGGATTTTCAAAGATAACGTTCCATCCTATATGTCACTGTCTAGTTAGAAAAGTATAATCTTTACTTTTGGATCGAGGGTGGAAGTGGGCACGGTGGACCGAGAGGGAGCCTTTGAATATGATAGGCCCGGGGAACCCTAAAATGTACTCAATTAGTTAGAGGGTACTTATTATAGTTTGAGTGCACTTATTTTAGTTTGGGAGTACTTTATTTTAGTTTGGTGGCCCCTAAAAAATGGATTTAATTCGTTTGAGGGTACTTATTTTAGTTTGAGTGCACTTATTTTAGTTTGGGGGTACTTTATTCTCGTTTGGGGGCCCTTTTAGTCTTGCATTTACGTCGTTTTTGATGAATCGCTGAGAGCGCCACAAGCTTAGTATGTTTATTAACGCGAGAAACATCAAGATATATTCTAAAAAATCCCCAAGCCCCCAACAGACACACCCAAACACACCCACCCACACACACACACAAACACATTGGATCAGACTCGGGGGGGGGGGTGCACCCACGGACTACCCCTTGGAAGTGGGATTACTGTGAACATTAGACAATACATGTACAAATTCGTTACTTTAAAACAATATCTCCCATATTTGTTGATGGAGCTGTCCATGTCACTGTTGGGGATGCTTTGATACCACTACTGGAATGAGTCCAAGAATCTGAGTTTGCTGTACATTGAAAAATTCTAGTGTCAGTTGATGGATTACTAAAGGTTCCAATTGTTTCCCCAGATGACTTCCTAGCTTGAACAATTAGACCTCGTAAAGTTGAACCGGTGATAGAAACTGAAAAAGACCCAAAATATTGAATCTGAAAAATATTCAAATTGTATAAAAAAAGAAGAGATGAATAAATACTTTAAATACTTCGATTGGGAATAATTAAGTCAGTTATTGCACTAACTAAACTTATTTATATCAGACAAACGTGTTCTTGTTATTAACGGGAAAATTAGCTTGAATCTGATATCTTGTAATTACTGGAGTAATAATTATACCCGAAGTAAAACACTTTGGTCCTTAAGACAATTTTGGTTCTTTGAAAAATTGTTGCTTCACTCTGTCTATAGAGTCAAATGTGCTTAATGAACGTGAATATATAGTTATACATAAAAAAAACAGTGATATTTTGGTAAAATCATAACCATTGTCAAGATATCCATCAAATTCTGTTTGTTAATTGACCTATGCAGCCATTATTATTGATAACAAGGTTTATTCCATAATTGGGATGGAAATTAACGTCAAGGCTATCTAAGACGTGCAGAAATTAGGAGGTATAAATGTAGAGCGAGATGGATTAGAGCTCATTCAGATATTCTATGCAGCCATTATTATTGAGAACGAGCAACCTTCAAGGCATAGCAATAAAGTTGTAAAAGTTGATGTCGTAGTGTTATTACGATCACCAAGAAAAAAACACAAGAAAAGAAGTCCGATAAGTTTTCCCTTTCGTATTCAAAAAGCGGACAAAATAGAACAATACCGTTATGATTTAATATTACGTCAAATATCTGTTCGCTCGCTAACCTCGAGTCACTGTGTTCTATTCCCGTGTTGACCGAGAAAGTTCATCTGGATTTTCCGGTGCGGTTCGCCCTTGTCGGTGGAAGGCATGGCAAAGGACAGCGTATAGTCATTCGTGTGGGACGAAAAACGCAGACACCATGCACGTATCTGCATACACCGAACCCCTTACAATTTGAATTCTCTATTAGGGTAAGCCCTAGCGCTGCCGTCCGGGCAAAATTCCTCCTCATAGCACACTCCATGGCGTATGCCCGTCATCATTAGCCCGATCAGGGCAGAACTATAGGACGTTAAACCCCATCTCTCTCTCTCTCTCTCTCTCTCTCTCTCTCAATGATTTGATTTTCCACTGGTTATCTTTTTGAAACATCTATTTTATTGTATATGGTATATTACTGGAGGGCATATACTACATTTATGTACTATAATATTATGTACCAAAATAAATATTTGAAAGCTTTCCTTCGTTAATTTATAAATACTGACCCATCGTTACATATTTTGACCCACACTTTGATTTTTTTCTTTTGCCTTTTATATTTCACTCGGGTTCATCTTACATTTATAATTATTAACTTAAGCTTATTATTTTCTACTTTTTTTTATCTAACCCTTTGCCATTACAAATAATTTGCTATTATACTATTATATTTCTTTACATTTCTTTTTTTTTTCTTAATTTCTGGTTTGTCTCTTCACGAGTATATTTCTCCTAATAATAAATAAAACTTTACCTGTTATTTGTTGATTTGGTCCATACGTTGTTGATGAAACGTTCATGGAATAAGGTGCGGTTGATGTCTGTGGTGAAAGCCCATGTAATGGCGTTAAACTAACACATGCACTCGGGGGTGCTCCGCTACTATAGGAATGAATTCTACAAACAGAAGCCAAAACAAGAAAACCTCTTAAAAATAACGAATTCATTTTAAGATCTAATGCGCCTGGTGTAAATGATGTGTTTCTTTCAACGTTAAAACTTGACTCATTTCGATACACAGGAGCCCAAGCGTGATGTTTCAGTAATGTAAATGCAAATATATGTAGCTTAATATATGTATAGAGGAACACACGGATACGGCAGTTCGTATCGAACAGTTTTTATACGGAAAAAGTCCGTATAACATCGTCATCTTTTTACCGTCTTGTTTGCTACTTTTAGACGCTGAAATGTTGTGATATAGCGTGTTTATGAATCTATGTGTATCCTAGAACACAAAGGTGGATATTCGATGTGATTTTAACCATGATAAAGACTGGAATTTAATCATTATGTTTGATGAGCTTTTATGGGAATTTTCATATTTTTCCCGTCTGTCTGTCTGCATGCTGTTTGATCTACGTGCTAAATTTAGGGAGGTGGGACCTTGCAAATCTCTAAATGATGTGATTCTAACTATGGTAAATGATACATTAGTGAAACCAAAAAATGCTGTCGAGTCGAAGTCGAAGATTTTTAATAATATTCGACATTAAATGGTTTTTTTAATAGCTCAGCGACTGTCGAGCGACTTTACTCCCCCTAGGAATTTGTAGTATAGGCATCTGACTAGTACTGATGGTGATCTTGGTACGCGGCGGGAAAATCTGCCAAAACTCTAAAACTACATTAATGCAACGAAACATGTGACGATACGGATACGGGATACGGATGGAGAAAAAATCCGCTTGCCAAAAGTCTCTAATATCAAGATTCCTTATAATAATAATGATAATCTGTGCATTTATATAGCGCTAGTACTCCATGCACAGAGGCATGCTCACAGCGCATACAGTTAATTAATTTGATTAATCATGTTAACATTTCTCAAAAAGATGGGTTTTAAGTCTTGATTTAAAACAAGAGAGAGTTGGAGATGATTTATTGATATCTGGTAGATTGTTCCACTGTTTAGGTGCATAAACTGAGAACGATCTGTATCCGAATGATTTTAGCTTCCATCTTGGGCAACACAACTGATGAAGTCTGTTTGATCGGAGGTTACGTGAGGGAACATGTATTTGCAAAAGGTCGGATAAGTATTTTGGAGCTAAGCCATTTACACACTGATAAGTCAAGGACAGAATTTTGAAGATGATTCTTTCATTTATTGGAAGCCAAAGGAGTGATTGCAGACGAAAAACACATTGGCGTACACGTAAAAGATCCCGTGGCAGTTAGAATTTGATATAAGAGTAGGCCGCCGCGCCGCTGTCCGGGCAACATTTAACTCATCGCACATTGTATGGCGTAAGCCCATCTTTATTAGCCCAGTCGGAGAACAACAGTAGGACGTTAAACCCCATTTCATTTCATTTTATTTCCATTCATTCATTCTGTTTGACTGATCAAGCGAAATGGCGATTGAGAGCGTGAACTGTGATCACTAAAAATAGAATATTAATAGTTTTACGTTAATAATGACTCAGCAATGTGACCTATAGATATATATCTAATAGTGCTGACCCTTCTTCGTTTTCAATATAAGTACAAAGTCCGGCTAAATTTTCTAGTTTACTAGTCATTATGATTAAAAAGGTTTCGGGTTTTCACTGTCTTATCAACTCAGTAATAACAAATAGTATAGGAGACGGATATGAACGAGAACAATGATCGCGCCCTTCCTTTTTATTCCCTGGTTAGATATGTTGCTCTGATAAAAGAATATAAAAAGTGGATTTTGTAAAGATGTAAGAAATTCATTTACAAATAGAAATATCTAACATTTTGTTCTTTTGTATAACATGCGGTGAATGAGTGTATGTTGCACGACATCTGAAGGGGGCTAAAAAAAAATATGGCCTTATCAAATAATACGTCAATTATCGAGTGTCATGGTACAGTTAATGTATAGCTACGAGCAATTGACTAAAAGCATTTGTCTGCCCGTGCGTTTTTTATGCTACGATTCGATGACTTGCATTTACCATTGCACACTTGTTTTTTTTTTTCTCATTCAAGCGTGTGATTTCGTGACGGACCTAGCAAGGGATAACGTGTAGTCTTTCGGATAGGATGAAAAATCAAGGTTCCGTGTACATATTAGCGTGCACGTAAAAGCCCCCCTAACAGTTGGGATTCAGTATAAGAGGTAGCGCCACTATCCGGACAAAGAGTTCCTTACGCGACATTACGACATTTTTAATGTCGTGGTGTCGGGTGAAAATGTGGTATTGTCCGGTTTAAATGTCGTGATGTCGGGTTGTCGTGGTGTCGGGTTAAAATGTGGTGATGTCGGGTTGTCGCCTTACGAAGGGCGAAACCGCGACATCAAAACATTATACCAATCAGCCACCATACTTTTGAGTTGAGATATGCGAAATTCCAACTTCCGCATTGACCGATGTATGCCGCCATTGGTCTGAACGCATGCAGACTCATACGACCAACCACAACTCACGATTTGTTGGACGACAATTGAACCAACCGGGCTAATGAAGATGGGCTTACGCCATACAGTGTGCTATGGTGTGGATTTTGCCAGGGTAGCGGCGTTTTCGACTATTGTTCATCAAATGCCAATTAACAAAACATTACATATACGCCAATGTGTACACGAGAGCTCGGTTTCTGCGCCAGACCCTCCATTACCAAGGGGTAACCGACAGACGTCGGGGGTGACGAAAAGTTACAACCACATTGAAATATGAGCTTTATTTATAAACATAAATTACCAAACACAACAGTTGAAGAGAATTATAACAATTTAAATATTGTTTTTTGTTTTGTTTTTTTTTAAAATATAACAATAAACATACATTCCAGACATTTCCGGTATATTTATAAGCCAAGAGACACCTTGGATATATTTAAACATACTCAATTCATGTTATAAATAACAACAACGTGAGCCAAGGGGACGTAACGTCATCAAGGCTAAAAAAAAATGGACCTCTTTGATTTGGATCAAAAATAAAATTGTCTATTTCATTGGATTGTATAATATGTTGATTTTTATTTTGTGTGATGACAATCTGTCTCCATGGAAACCCTTGAAGAAAGACCCAACATTTATGGTCAGATTTTCGAAAATCACTTTGTCCATGCACTGATCAATATTAATGTTAAGTTTCAGCCATGTAACTGATGACCATATTATTAGCCCCGTGAGGAGATATTGGTGTGGTCTGACTTGGGGAAAGCTCCAGAAATTTCGATTAGATTTGCGAAATATTTATTTTTGGCTCAATCGAAGATGGACCAGTCTCAAAGGAGAGGTTAACATTGAATAGCTCTAAACGACTTTCTTCAATTGTCTTACACGGACAGATCTTCTAACAACATCAACGGTCGACCATGGCATACATGTACGTCTATAGGAAAATGCTATGATCAGGAGATATAACCTGTTGTTGGTTCGTTTTCGCTACAGGCCTGGGGCTTACGTTTGTTGTTTATGGCTTGTAATGTCCGTGTGTTTTGTGTCTTGGGTGTGAGGTTCTGTTAGTGTGTTGCGTTTTGCTAGACTTAATACTAGAATACATTTTATTTTGTTACGTTTAAAAAAAATTGCACTAAAATATATCTTAGCAAATTAATGAAAGTAAAAACACTTTATTACAAACAAAGGTGATGGTCGATGACAACACAATATTTGACTTTCGGATACCATGAAATATTACTTTCAGTTCGACAAAAAGGAATATATTATATAATAGTTACTTACATATATACACATATATACAACTTTGCTTCGGTCTTTGTGGCAGACTTCATAAGCTTTGTAACTCTAGTAGCGATAAAATATTAAAATTCTATTGTGACGGAATCGATAATAGATAATAAAAATATACTTAGATATATTTGGGGTCCAGTTATCTGAATATTGACGTAAGCAAATTATAAATATAGCACGGACAAAAAATCAAGAAAGACATAGCTATGTTAGTCCATTTTTTAGTTTGGATAACAAATAAGGCGCGACATATATCAAAATTATGGGTTAATTTAGCGATGTCCAAAAAACTGTTTCAAATTTAGTTAGTTTTAGAAACTATATGGAATTTGGCGTCTTTTGTATTAGGCACTTTTGTATGAACTAATCTGTCACGATTAGTGGATACTTTACACCATAAATGCCGCAACCAGTAGGACACCAAGAACTAAACACACACAGCCCCCAAGCCCTGAAAATAAGCATAATCATATTCCATATTAAATATATTCAAGTACTTTCAAACTCTCAACTAAAATGCTACGGTGTTATATTTCCATTAACGATTGTTTCGTTGTATGTGTTGCCTTCAATAATGGTCATATTTATGTAACCTGCAATTAGTATATTGATCCACATACAAATTGTAAAGATTCCATTACCAGATAATGTATGTATAGTCTAATATTAAGTTTATAGTAAACGTTATCAATTATTATATTCACACAGTCTGTTAAATGGAATTAGTATTTTATTTCTGCTTTTGTGGGCTTGTGTGTTGTGTGTGTGTGGGGGGGGGGGAGGGGGGTCATCCAAAGGGACGTGACCTTAGCCTCAGATAATCGAAAGTAAAATGCGGACAGGATTAACAGAACATGTACAACCAGATAATGTTTTAAACGTCTGAACATCGTAGATATTTAATAATGATTGGTGTCGATTATTTTAAGGCTTAATAATTTAACCCAAATGTCTTAAAATCAGGCGACCCAAATGTCTTAAAATCAGGCGACTTAGTCCGAAAGAAAGTTTATTAACGCCTCACCAGTTATAATTACATCATATTAAAATAAAATATACAATTATATAAAACAGAAATGTGAGTGTGTGTGTGTGTGGGGGGGGGGGGGGGGGGGTAACAATTAATCATAGTAAATGATTTACAAATAAACAATATCTAAAAAAGAATATCTACACTAAGAAAAACAGAAAGGAAGTATGACACCAATTCACATTTTACTTTTCAGAATTTGGCCCAATAAACAAGATACTGGACTCCAATAAGGTCATTTTTCTTTTAAATTTCGGAAATCGTAACCAAAAATGGCATTCAAAACCTAACAAA